TCCGAGGTACCTAAATAGAAAAGCAGATCTTTAAAAAATTTAATATTTGTTCGCAAAAATGATACTCTAACTAGAAACATGTCAATCAGTTGCTCTATTTCTGTAAAAAGGAAGAAAATTCCTTCGCGATTGACAAGGAAACAGTTTTTCGCAATTATTATATTGAAGTTTGGTTTGGTGAGGATAAGGCCTGTTTAGCCATTGTTAATGGAGTGCCCGTCATGTCCGGTGAAAAAAGTATTATTTTAGGACGCCACTGTGTGTTATGTTATTTTATCTTCCCGTTGGTTGACAACATTTTAAGCATTGTTTTTTTAGGAACACCCCACTAAGTGGAAGTTTATGTTCTTTGTGCGATAATCTTTAAATTGTTTAACTATGGTGATTACACACATCGTTTGCATTACTTGAATTTATATCTCATTGAGAATCTCATAATTATGATATCAGAACTGCTTGTTCTGGCAAGGTAAGCATATACGACCGACGATACTACCTTTAAACCTTAAAGAAAAGAGCGTACTCCTAGCTCGGAAGCTGGCAACGTTCGTAAGCGACGGTAGTCATTTACATCAGGTGAAGCTTTTGCCCTGTTTGCCCCCAAGATCATGAAAAAAAAAACATACATATATGTTTGATAAAGATATGAAGATACGCCATAATAATGCTTCTACTACACAATAAAATGCACCAACTATTAACTGGGTAAATAAGAAAGATGGATTTCTATCTAAACTAAATATATATTCTTATCTCAGAAAGAGTTAACCCAAAAGGAAGAAGAAATAAAGACAATACCGTTCCGATAGGCGATCAAGAACGGGTCACCGTTTCTGATACGAAGATGGGGACACTGTTGATTCAGTAATAGAATGGCTCAGTTGCAAGCTGAAATTGTATTATCTGTCTTTTATAGTGTACTTGAATAGCATTTAAATCGACATTTTATAATGCACTAAAATGTGTTTTTATATTTATCTAAAAACAAGTTGTTTCTAGAATTCTGTTCTCTTATACATACGCTTTATAAAATTAGTAAATTTAAGAAATATTGTTAGTAAGATGATACAATTAAAATAGAATACAAAATACTTAGAATACAAAATACTTAGACTGGACACACGACTCGCCGCTGCTACATCCCATGTGAGAGAACCTTTGCATTCATGAGTATTATATTACGGATGTCAATAAAACACCAACCGCGGACGGCCTATGTACTGTACATAAAATATAGATTGACTCGACTTGAATTATAACCCTGCAATTCAAAGACCTGCATCACACTTGTGTGTTCAGTTGCAGGTATCCATTGCCGGTGGTAGATACATACCATTAGGTGACTCATCTCTTCGTTTGCCCAGTTATACGATAATAGTATTATACATATTTATTAATACCAGATACATATGATAAAATATTAGTCTTTCTAGTGCAAAAACTTCTCTGTCTTTTTATTTCTCAACTAAATTCTAATTCACAACGAAATTTCGTCTGCGTTTGTCAAAAGGAATAAATTTCCTCTGAATTTGAATGATTTTTTTTATCGATTCTCCGCTATAATATGTCTCGATTTTGTAGCATTTTACATTGATGCTAACTGACTGAAACTGAGATTAGCACACTGAACCAAACAAGCAAACTCCTCAGCTTAGCATAATATTAGTAGAGATTAGCATAATGTACTTATAGAGAGATCTTTATCAGATTTAATGATATCAGTTTTGCACCGTCTTTATCGAAAACCCTTACAGATGTTGTCAAAGCTCCTTGTGCACAACAAGACATGAGAGTAAAAATAACCCTTCAATAAGTATATATTTTTCTTTTATTTTAGTATATTATCGAAAGTTACCTATCTCTCTTTTGATTGCTTTGAAGAGTTTATGACCAGTAATTATGATCGGACGTTAAACCTAACACCATCGGAAGTATAAATCCTATTTGAAGACTTCATTCCATATAAATTTCAAGGGACCAAACGCACTGGGATATATACTCGTAAATAACTTTGAATAATGATTTCGTTGTAGAATTCTAATGGTTAAGATTAGCTTTACTTTTAAAGTCACTACAACAACATAGGAGTAAAACACCTAATTACTTATTAGTAGTTCCATTATCATAAGCCTACGTTTTGATTTATCTTTAAACATTAAAAAACTGTGCAATGGTCAATAGCTTCATAAAGCATTCCTAATCCAAAAATTTCAATTAAGAACGATTTAATTAAAAACCAAGATCACGAGTTTTAGAAAATTTGTAACATCACTGAATATTAACATTCATGAAACAATCGACAAAAAGTTAAAATTTCTGTGACATTAAGTCGATGAATAGAAACAATTTGTTTCATTCAAAATGAATCGTTATCGGGTCCATTAACCATTAATTCAGTTTCAAATTTTTCAGTATTATTTATTTTCTAAGAAATCGCTGTGTCTAAAAAATCAAACCTTCGTTAAGCTTTAATTAAGTCACTTCTCGGTAATTAAAGGACAAGGTGTCTTATAATTCGGATCAGCATTTATAACTAAGATTCAAGTCCTACAGAATTCTTGAGTGTCCAAAAACCCTGATCTAAATAGTGAACCTCATTTTTTTCTTTTTAATTGGTCACTTAAAATAGTTCTGAATTGTACTATAATGCGTGTATGAAAAAAATTACATGTAGAGTAGACGGAACTGAAAGTAGATAATTAGTCATGGTTTTTCAGTTTCAATTCTAAAAACAAGGCGTTTTAAATTAATTAATAGGTCTTTACCTATGAAATTGCCGTGTTGTATGCAATAAGTGAAAGTACTTATTTTTTCAAACTTTTTTATTTCTGTTATTCGAAGTAATCACCCATGCAATCGACGCATTTTTGCCAACGCATTGGCAGTTTATTGATGCCCTTCTTGTAAAAATCAGCTGGACGGGAGGCAACAAACTCTTCAAAGGCATTTTGTACTGCCTCTCGGGAATTGAATTTTTTACCCACTAAAAAGTTGTCTAAATTTTGGAAAAAGTAATAGTCGGTAGGTGCAAGGTCTGGTGGTCACATCTGCAACCAGCTTTGGTCAATCGGTCGTCCCCACTGCTCCTTCACGACAACGCGCGACCCCATACTGCGCAACAGACAGTCTCCAAGCTGCAAGAGCTGGGGTTGGAAGCTCTCCCTCATCCGCCATACTCACCAGACCTAACCTAATATTTTCGGACATCTGACATACAACGCCATCCACTTTCAAACTAACCAGAGCTTGTACTATGAAAGTTAGTTTGACCGATGAAATACTTTTTTTTTATAAATGCACACATATGATACACAGAAAACATCCAAACTCCGAAACAGATATTTGCAGATCATAGAAACATTTTGTCCGCCCGGAATCGATCCCGAAACCTCAGCACCGTAGTCGCATATGCTACCACTGCACTACCGAGGCCGTCAATTAATTTTACTCTACATAGTCAAACGATAGTCATGTAGTCATCGTCTCTACGTTAGTAAACACCTAATCGATTTGGTTCGGTTCGGTAGATTAATGTTCTAATCAAGTTAGTGTGATGTTATACAATATATGTTAAGATTAAAATTATCATCAAATCTCTATGTCCCATAACCTTTCACAATAAAAAAATTATATACTGATAATAGTATAATAAGCTCTGTTTGAAAAAGCTTTCAAAAACTTAAATCACAATGCGAATGATATCTGGTGACTAAAACACTCTTTTTACCCAAAACTCTTCCAGTCCCGTGTCAAAACCACTAACCTCGTGTAAAATATCGCGAGGATATACCAACCAATATTAGTTGACCGGTCGCAAATCTCCACAAGTGGTAAAATTAGGGTGTCACTGGGATCAGAATTAGTTGGGCTCAACCAGGGCTTGCCCTTTCAGAGATGAATGTGTAAATGGGTGACAAAGAATACCGTCGAATTTAGTGTAGCTTGGATTTATTCGTATATGAATTATTTGTTCGTGATTATTGTTCCATCCAACCGAAGGGTCCGCTTTTATCGCAATTGCCATGTAGAGTTAGGTTAAATACTAACCGCGATCGTATCATAAGGGATTTAGCGACTTACTCTAATGATAAATGTTACGAAGTTATGTAGTAGTCTTCATGTTTATATATTCCGTCAGTAGAATAGATTCAACATCCGAAAAAAATTGGGAAATCATATCATATAGGCATTATTACAATCTGTGATCAGAAGCAAATATATACAGTGATTCCCTGAATAATGATCCCTTCATTACAATGATCACGCAATAATATTTATTTTCTATAATATAAAAAAAATAAGTTGTAAGTAACTTTTTGCACACAATGCTTCAAATACTCAAAAAAGTTCAGCACCGATTGAGCTCAAATTTTGTCACAATATACATTCCTCTTCAAAGATTATTTTTATTTATTTTACACGCTTTATATTAGCTCCACTTGTATGTTTGTTTGTATGTTTGTTTGTAACCGACTCCTTCTGGCGTGATTTTGACTGACTTTAAACGGTCAGAATTCGTTCAAACTTTGTAGATATATCGAGGACCGATGACAATAAACTAATTAAAAAAAATATAGTTTAAAATAACTAAAAAACACGCTTTTTATAGAAAACCAAACTACTCGTAAAAATGGAAAATAAATTTTAATAAATTAAAAAAAAAAGCGTGGGCTGCTTTTTATTATTGACAACAGGCACCCAACCCTTTTTTTTTAATTTAAAAAAAATATTTCCTATTTTTGAGTTTGGTTTTTTATAAAAAGGGTGTTGTGTGTCATAAAACTATAATTTTTTTGCGTCAGTTTTGTTCTTCATTTCTAATCAATGAAACCACAATGAGCCACAGCGCAGCGTGTGACGAAACAACTAGTAACTTATAAAAACAAAACAATGCTGGATAATACTAACAAATAACTTTATTACGTTGCACATTCTATAAATCTAAGAAGCTACATAAATTGAGTATAGTTAGGTACTTGTTTCATTTGATCTTTTTCAATTTAAACATTTTGTTCTTCAAGTACTGACATGACAAGAGTGAAGAATGACATCCCAGTTTTAATAAACTGAAAAAAAATACAAAATAACTTTTTATTTCAAACATAACAATTAGCTGTACACCTATCAATATAAAGAATAAAATCTTTCTCTTTCTATATATAGATATCTATCGTCTAATGGCCTCACGTTTGGCTTTTGCCGTAAACTTTAAGCTAACACTAACGTTTGGTTATACTTGTAGAATCAAACCTCGAAATTCTCATGCTTACTAGTTCTCTTGTATGTGCTTGACAAATAAGCATGTTGGACGGTTCGTCATACGGAGATCGACACTGTATCAATATTTCTCTTAACCTATTCCGAGATGATGAGAACAAAATTGTATGTTTTAGGAATTAGATGTAATCAGCTTTTGAACCTAACTAATTTAATGACTCTGTTGCGGATTCGGCTGTTTGGGTTGCGAACCCGCAACCACATATTTTATGAGTTTGCCCGACCCATAGGCTATGACACTATTGCTTTCTTTTAAATTGTTATTTACTCATCATTATCAACAACCTTTAGTAGTCCACTGGCTGGGCATAGGCCTTTCCTTAGAAGGAAGGTTGTGACCTACCATACTATGGCCGGACAGGTTGGTTTAGGATTTGTTACAAATTTTCCTTCTCTTTGCAGTGCTGTTGTCCTGCGTGGTTTGCTCCCTTAGTCGGCTCTTACATCACCCACGGGATTATGGGGACTCCGTTTTCTTAATCCGTCACTAAACGGATATTTAAAATTTGTTTTACTTACCCAAGTGAAAGTAGGTAACGACAATGTTATTGTTCCAAATATATAGATAGGCATCCTTTGACTAAGGGCCATGTTAAAAATCTTGATGTTAGTCTGATGAGTATTGTCAAATATATACCATTTTTCTGTTACTACTCTCTCCAAGATTTCAGACTAAGGGCAAAATGAAGTGTTTTTGTTACAAATCACGTACTAAAATGTAAAGTAACATGAAAATTAAGTAAATTTAGTTCCATCTTATCTAGGGTTGTTTATTAGTGAATTTGACTGAAACCCGCATACATACATTTTCTGCCTTATGAGCGGCAATTTACTTTTAGCGCGATTGAAACATCATCCCAGCAAGTTTTGACCTCCTCTCAGTTCATAGGTAAAAGAACTACTGAAAGTCGTAGCTCAAGGAAACATAATGCAGCGTTTTTACAATAAATAGGATCTCAAAATAATCACGTAATATATAATTAAGCTTTGTATTTACAGAAGCGGGCCATATGCATGACTCGAAACTATGGATGTTTCATGGCCTATCCATAGTTGAGTCGATACCAAAACCAATCAAATGTAAAAAACAAACCCACAATCAACGAGTATACCAAGATGTTTACTAATAATGTTTCGTGTCAGAAACTGTTTCCGAACATTCAATATTCTCAAAAATATATTTTTAGTCCTTGCTATGGATTTGTAATTTGAGGCTAGTTTGGTTACACCCATTTCGATTGTCTTACATGTTTACGAGAATTTGATCTAGATTTTGGGATGTTTTCCTATGGAACCATATCTATTAGTAGATCGAGTATCAAAAAACTAGGCCACTTTAGGTTATGGTTTAAAAACTACGGGATAGATTTATTTAGATAAAATTTTATCGGTCCCATAGTTAACCTAAATTTAAGCAAATAAAGAAGAATAGAGTTTGATTACTAGTTCTAGAAAAAATGTGTAAGCAAACATAGATTTATTCAAACAAAAATGTATTTTTACATATTTACATAAAAAAGGAAATGTTTTTAGAAGCTAAACTTGGGAGCTGCAATAAATTTATCATATTATGTGTTTATTTTGCAGGTCCAAATATTTCACGATAACATATGTTATCGTATGGTCGTTATCATATGGTCATTCAATATGTTAAGATAACCTCCTTTTTTACAGTCAGTTAAAAATCGAAAAGTCTGTACTAACCTCATTATCAACTTGTTGTCCCAACAAACAGAAAGACAACACGACTGCAATAAAACAAAACTCATGAAGGTAATATTTCATCGTATCTAACGAAAGTTTGTTCTGCAAACAAAATTATAATTAATAAGTCAAACTGTTAAGTTATAAAGTATAAGTAGTTGAATGATTATAGTTTGTTGAAGAGAGCTTGTATAGCATGTTTGTACTCGTAGAAGTAAAAATAATAACATTGTAATGACTTGCCCAATCTCACAAACGTCCGTCTGATCCTAAACTGAGCAGAGCTTTTAGTATGGTTGTTAGATTGCGGATAAACGTTCTTAACTAATAATAACATCTTATAGATAAACTACACTTCTGGGCGGGAATCGGATACCTACCAGCCTAAGATACGCTAAAATAAAACTGTTTTGATACTTACGAGTATCATTATATGTGGTAATATGTATAAAAGATTGCCTCGATTTTATGAATTATATCAATTTAGTTGCACACTATACTAACATTATATACTATTATCTAACTGTTACATTTTATTATTAACTATGACAATTTTGGAACTATTTGTTTTACCAAACTAACACGCAAAAAACAATCAAACCTAATCTAACCTAACATTTCTTTTAATATTACACAGGGCACATTTTATTATGAATAACATAATATGAAAATATACAAAACCTTAGAAATGTATGTTTTTTTTGGTGAGAATTACAAAATAATAAAGAAATACATCATAAATAAACAAAAATTAAATAAACCCAAGCAAAACATCTTAAAAATAAAGACAGGCGATTTAATCATAAAAAACCATAAAGATATAGCACAAGCCTTTAACATCTTTTTTACAGATTTAGTGAAACCTGGCACAATAAATAAAAGTACGTTGAATTATAGCAGCCCCCAGTCCATTTTTATGACACCTGCAACTCCTCATGATGTGCGCGCAATTATAAACCAGTTGAAAAATACAAAAAGCACGGGTAATGATGGGGTAAATACTTTGATAGTGAAAGAGGTCTCTTCTTTTATTTCTCCCATACTTACCCATATTATAAACTTATGTATTGAACAGGGAGTATATCCCAGTGATCTAAAAACATCCATTCTTAAACCACTTTTCAAGAAGGGGAGTAGAGGTGACATGAACTGTTATAGACCTGTTGCTCTCATTCCTGTTTTCTCCAAAGTCATCGAAAAATTTATACACAAATGTTTGTACAACTATTTTGAGAAAAAGAATTTACTAGCAATTGAACAGAAAGGTTTTAGAAAGGATAAGAGTATAGATATCGCTATTTATGAAATGATCAGTAAGGTGTTGTTTTTCATGGACAGAAAAATACCAGTCTCTGCTGTGTACATGGACATGAGCAAAGCTTTTGACCACGTAGACCATAGAATTCTTCTTGACAAGCTGCATGCATATGGCATAAGAGATAAAGCACTTAGTCTAATACGTTCCTACTTAGAAAATAGAACACAAATAACGGAAGTAGTCAGAATATGTCCAAAGTCAAAAACTGAAGTCAAATACCAGTCAGATCCAAGATATGTCAGGTACGGTGTACCACAAGGGAGTGTATTGGGGCCCTTGCTTTTCCTTATTTACATAAATGACTTGCCGAAAGTAGTTAGCACACCTATGATTTTATTTGCTGACGATTGCACGATGATATTTCCTAGATTAGGGACAACTGACTTGAGTATATATGAAGATGACATTAATAATTCAATTAAAACAGTTATTGAATGGCTTGCAAATAATAATTTAAAAATAAATCTAGACAAAACAAAAATAATGCATTACAAACAACGGACACAGACTTTTGACATAAACATTAATTATGCTGGGCTTAACATAGCAGAGGTAACTAATCAAAAATTTTTAGGATTATGGATTGATAAAGATTTGTCATGGAAAACACAAATAGAAGAAATATGTAAAAAATTAAATTCCTTCTCGTACGCATTATATATGCTCTCTAAAGCAGCGAGCTTACAGGTCGTACTAATTGCTTATAATGCTTGCGTCACGGCTACACTACGGTACGGAATCATTTTTTGGGGAAACTCAGTTAAGAGAGACGATGCGTTTCGAGCACAAAAACAATGCGTTAGAGCCGTATGTGGTTTAAGGTTGCCGGACAGTTGCAGACCTCGCTTCAAGGAACTGAAGATTTTGACTTTTCCGTCACTGTACATTTTTGAGTTGGCAGTTTTTGTTAAATTGCATCCAGAATATTTTCAATCCCTAAAAAGCCAAAGACAACGGGATAGAATCCACGCAACGCCCCACACAAGTGAGCTTTTTAATAAAAATATCCTCGGTATGGCTCCTAGAATATTTAACAAGCTCCCAAAAAATATTCGTCAAATATGTGACCTATGTAAATTTAAACGTGATCTAAAAGCGTTTCTGATTGAAAAAACGTACTACAGCGTAAATGACTTCCTCTTAGACATTATTTAATGACATTTGCTATGGTATTTGTTACTGATTCACTGAAAATGGATATATATATGTACATTTCTTTAGATAATACTGGATTATTGATTTGACATAATTTAAAAATTCCGCGATTTTGCTCAGGTACTGATATAATTTAGGATTAAGAGTTTTTTATTTTTTATTTATTAATATATGACAATTCAATACATATTTGTTGTGTTTAAAGTAATTAATTTGTATGAAATATTTGCACACCTGAAAGGGTAGTATACAGAGGCCAAAACTAGTATATAAGATCTTTGTATAACCTGTAATACGCAAATAAACAATTTGATTTGATTTGATTTGATTTAGAATTAAGATTAATATAATCAAGACGTATATTTACAATAGTTGTAGTTGTTTTGGCTTAATCACGTGACAACTAAAAAAAAAACGTAACTATCCGTAATAAATGGTTTATTTATCTGTGACCTTTGTAATATCTGGTTTTAAATAACGGTTTTTGACTACGAAGGTTAAAAACTACATTTAAAAACTTAAAAGTGTTTCCTATGGATTAGTACATATAGACGATCGATTTGTCTAGGTGTGAATTTAAGACCAACTTACCGATGTAGCGATTTTTACTGAACATACACAGACCAACATTATGGCTACTAATATAAGAGCCAAATAAAATGGTCGGCAGATAACATTCAATTTATTGCTGAACCTGCAAATATGAAATTTGAAATAATAAGATTTTTTGAGGCAGGCCCATTCAACTCTTACAATTAAGAACTGCATATATCCAAGACTTGCTAGGACGACATGTATCTATCTTTAAATACCTACCAGCCAAGCAATTCAGTTTCATCGCATTATAGGATTTTAAAAATTTCTACATAATTGAAAGAAGGAAAGAGTTTTAAAGACTAATGAAACAAATCCACCCCGTTTATTTTCTAACAGAATACTGCCGAGATAAATTTAATTATTATGATAACGATTTGTCCAGTGTGATTGAAAAATCTGATTGCTATTTACTGTCTCAAAAGTTTTAGAACAATTACTGAAATGTCAACCATTACACGAAGAAATGTCTGTAGATATCATTAGAACATGAAATATTAAACAGGATGAAATTCGTTTGTATAATTGTTTAAACTTTATGACAATCTTAATTTGCAATTCCAATTATCTAGCTTCTCTGGTAATATTTCAAGGGTTAAGTTATATTTTAGACTTGTTAGTAAAATATTTTTAGTAGGCTTTATTTATCTAACTTAATATATTTTTAGTAGTTGTTAGACAAAATAAGTCAACTGAGAAGCTAACTCTCTTGTTAAATTAACTTTGCATTCAGTGTATTAGCGGGGCAAAGTCAGACTAAGTGCCCTTTTCCTGTCAAGCGATTTACCGCCCGCGTGCGGTTTTGTTCCACCAGAGTGCAACAGCAGGCGCGGGCCACACGCAGAATAAAAATTACATCCCCCGCTGCAGTGTTGTGCGTATTGCTAGCGAGTAAGCGCGTGCAGAGACATTGACGTTAAAAAAGTTTTCACTACTTACATGACTTTAAAAAATAAATATAAAAAATCGATACAGAATTAATACATATTTGAAACTAGACTATTTCTTACTGGAATTGGTTTTGGTTGCCGCGACCAATCCGCGTACCGCGTGTGGCGGAATCGCTTGACTGAAAAAGGGCACTAACGTTTTCAAGACTGTCCTTCAGATCCTTGCGCTCCATTTATGGGTTTTTCCTGATTCTTTCCGCAGCCTTTATACAAAAACCCTTGGTGCTTACGGGATTGGCTGCACTACAAAGTATTTATGTTAGTGTCTTTATCATTAAACCAAACGCTTAAAAAGCCTTTATACTAGCCTTTTTAGTTTTATATAGTGATCCACACATTGGGATAAAATCATAGTACAGTATGATTGCCACATCTGGTTTGGCACTCCCGTGATTTCCAATGCCAGTTCATTTAAATGTAGAAGTATGAAGGATAATATTCTCAGTTGACGAATTATCTGGCCAACTAATAAAATTATTGTTGTCTGCAGTCCTGGGTAAGCTAGAAATACAAATTCATTAGAAATCCAGATAAAAATGCAAAATTGTGAAAATTTAGTGTTACTGGAACGTTTTAACTAAAATTTACAGTGACGTTATCCTTTTAAAACTGTAGTAAATATTGACCCCGCGGAAACTACTTTGAAAAAGAAACTTATCAAAATGCGTAAAGAGGATGTTACGAGTATACAACCTTTAGGAATAAAACACAGGAGTAAACGTTATCCAATTAAAACACAAAATTGAAATCAATCTATAAACTTCCAAGCAAAAGCTGAATTATCAAGCACGCAAATTCATGCCAGTTAAGGATTTTCTCGTAGCCAGAGATGATAAAATAATAAATCAATTAAACTTACCAATGCAACACAAATGGGCACTGTAAATGTTTAATATGAAAGACATGATGTAGACATTTATATTTTGTAGACTCCACGGAAACCACATTTCGAATACTAAAAAGTAACAAAACAGTAATAAGATTTGGGGTAGTTTTTTTTTGTCAAATTCATATAAAATCAAATAATTACCTAGGACACGTAAGGAGGTATCTTCTTCTATAAT